GCATGTAAGCGTTGGCGAACCGGGACTTCATTGGATCCAGGCGGCAATATCAGCCCGATCTGTCAAATACCAGTTTCAGCTTTGGTGTATTATAGAAACAACATCAACGAAAACTCAAAAAGAGTTAATGAGTAATGAATTTGGCCCCACGAAGTCTCAGCTTCCGCCTCGCGCCTTGTCCAGCTCCTCACCCGCAGCCTGGTCCCAGTCGTCATCCAACTGCCGACGATGCTCTGCCGCCGCCAAGCCCGTCGTGACTATCAGGTCCAGGTCCAGGTCCGCAAGCTTCGTCGCGTGCAGCTCGAAGCCGGGTCCCCACCCGGGCTTGTGCCCCGGACTACTCCGGCCGCTCTTCTCGTCTTCCCCGCCCCCGCCCCCACCGCCGGCGGCAGCGGCGGCATTAACGTGGCTGGCCACGTGCATTCTCGGACGGAAATGGGCCTGGATTTTACCGTTGAAGTCGACGAGCCGCATGCCCCTGCCCTTCTTGTTCTGCTCCCACCGCATCTCGGCGGCGCCCAGGAAGCGGAACCCCAACGTGCTTGACAGGGGGTGTTTGCGGGCCATTTTGAAGGCGACGCCACGGACCGTGAGGTCGATTCGAGGTGGTATCGTGCGAAGCTTAACGGCGCCGATGGGTCGGTGCTCGGTGGAGATGGCGTCGCATTTTATTCTCCGAATCTCCATCTTTGTCATTTTGGAGTTGTGGCTGATGCTGTAGAGCGGGGTTACATCACTCCGTTTTGCGAGGTTCACTATGATTGCGTCTTCTGCATGGTCCCGGTCGAGCAAGAGGAAGTGCTGAGGCTCTGTCGTCGGTTCCATCGTTCTCCCACGGCAGTCAATTGTCTTTGACGTTTAGCGACTTGATGTTCCAGGCATGATGGACTGTTGAGCGGGGAAGTTTGACGAGGCGCGAGAGGGGGAAACGGTAGCCTTTAATTTTCTCCGGCATGTAGTCAAACGCCCGCGGAATCACAGCTTTCATGTTCAGTGACGTACGCCAGCGAGGTGTTCTGCGCCCCAAAAGCTTAGTTGTGAGTGGCTCGGCGATTCACTCCGCCCCTTCAAGAATCCTCTAGACCGAAGACGGGACGACGCGAGCCATACGAGACGATTCATCTAGGGTGTTGCAGCTCAATGGTGAGACGGACCAGCGAATTAATGACCATTTGCCTGCTTGCCATCCCAACGGAGAAAAGACCCTTGGCGCATCTTGTTTTCCCCGAATGGCGGAGCAGTAAGGTTTGTCGATGACGTGGAATTAGGATAGCTTGTTTTCTTCTCACATGGAGCTGTGAAACGACAAGGAGACCCCAATTGCGGTGCTCAGACACTTTACCAAGCTGCGGGCGGGATGATCGGAGGCGGAGATTGACGGGGCCGTTTGATCAGGGATCAGCCGAGTTGTCGGGTCCGGGGCGGGGATTAGATGCGGGACGGAGTCAACCGTCCGGAGATCAGTTTTGTTTTCCGGTCTTGTCCTTGGACATTCGTCAAAATTTCAACCGTTCGTGGTTGAGCTGGGTTGATGAATGATGAAAGCTTGTTCTCCCTTTCAGCAGGGCCTCGATGGTCCGCATGTAGCACTACAGTATCTAGATAATAGTCTCCAACCGTAAGTTTCCGTCCTCTAGAATACTTCGAGTTTGCGGAGACCACCCGCGCCGGCGGATAATGCCCGAGGGAGATATCGTGTGCGGCTGAAGTCGCAACCGGAATGTAACGAGAAAGACCCAAGAAATCATCTCATAATTGAACAACGTGGGAAAATCATACGATCAATCATTTTCACATCGGTAATCAAAGGATCAAAAGTGCCAGGGTTCCGGCACATTCCTCGTTCACATCGCTAGCTGGAAAGGGCGAGATCCATGGTGTCACATGCTGTTGGACCCTTGGTCCGGAGCGTAGCTCCTGCTGTCGCGCAGGTTGTTCACACCGCGTTCGGGCAACTTCGCCACTACATCCAACCCCTTCACAGTTCCTGCCATTACAGCTAAGGCCCTGGAGATGTTCATGGACTAGCTGAGCTGAATTTCTAATTATTGTAAGGAGCTGAGAGGCATCATACGATGACTGGAAGGGAGGTTTAGTTGTGGCATTGAAGGTAGGGGGTTGACTCATATCGCCGTCACCCTTTACGCGTCTTCCGAAGTACTCGGTGGAAGCCTACTGTAGAGACTTCTTCTGGTCCGGAGCAGTTAGTCTCGCGACTCTTCGGCCTTCTCAAAACACGAATGTCTCATGGAACATCTTGGCCTGTCCCAAGCCGCATGGAATGGGCATTGGAGTCTACTTAAATTGCTTCGTCTCTCTTATGTAGATGTCATTGAATTAGAAGTTCCTAGAAGACCCTCAAAACAGCTCAATCCGGCGTTGATTAGGGTTACATTTCTACCACTGAATTAGCATCTACTTCGTTTGAAGACATTGCCACATCGACTTCTTCGGATATCTGTGACTTGCTCTCTACTCCGTCAACTTATCAGATGAAACATCGGTATCTACAACAGAACCATCTACCACTACAGACTCAAAAGAAATTGTCAACGGATTCATCGTCTTCACCTACAGTGCCGCTGGATGACCTAACAACCCCTTCTTCCTCCTCGACGATTTCAACAACAGCTGCCTCGACATCATCCATTTCATCTGAAACAACGTCAATCAGTCTCACTTTAGACTCAAAATTAAAAGCATCAATTAAATCTTTGAGTGACAGCTCCCCGGTCGTCTCCACTGTCATCGATGAAACAAGCTCTACCTATAGAATCACTAGCACAATCACCTCGTCTCTGTCACCACCATCAACCGCGCTTTCTTCGTCGCCGGACGTGTCATCTCTCACTAATCCTGCTATCTCCACGTCACTCCCAAACTACGGAAGCCTATTTGTCGTCAAGTATAACGGCGTCAGTCGACGAACAACCCCTAAATACGCCAGCGAGCAGCACTCCAGCCGTATCAAGCACTGACGCCATCATCGGTTCAACGTCTGCGAGTCTTACTACGTCCTCTGTCAGATTTCCCACCTTTGGCACGACTCTATGCTCTTGAAACAAAAGCAGCCCCGCCATCGGGTCATCGACGCCGGCTACCGAAACTCCAGATGCCCATAGTTTGTCACTGGATCTGGCTGTGACCTCGACCGATATCCTTCCCGAGGTTTCGGTCACTTCTGAAGCCGCAGCATCTTCTGCTGCAGTGTCCCCAACACTGACTGCCTCCTCGTCGGGAGAGCTGGTACCGTCATCAGCGGCAGTCCCTTCTGCACCACCAGTCACCCGCACAGCAGAATGCTATCCTGCAGTCAGCTCTACAGCACAGGGCGCATCTCCCTCCGAGGCCGACTCTTTTCCGGCAATATCATCCCATAAGGAGACAGCGTCGTCTGTAGAGACAGCATCTGCCGAAGTGGAGGAGCATTCCTTTATCCTTCCGGATTCTTCTATTGAAGTAGAATCTCCAACAGCGACTGAATCTTTGATTACGACATAGTCAACAGAGATACCGTCTTCAGTACCAATTGCTTCTTCATCGCCGACTACTCCCTCTCAATTCACGGTGCTTCCCTGATGAGTGCTCTCTCCCCATCGACTACTTTCTTCCCATCGATATTGTCCCCGCCATCCACTGCATCCTCCCTGTTGACGGCCTCTTCTTCATCAACAATATCTACGGAACAGACGGAGTCTTTTACAGAGGCAGCCTCTGCGTCGACGACAGTCTCTCCGACCACAGCAGACTCTTCCATAGAGGCAGCTTTGTCTGCAGAGACAGCGCTTGCTTCAGCAACAATTTTCCCTTCAGAAACAGTCACTTTTGTGCAGACAGACCTTCCGTAGAGGCGGATACTCTTGTACAAACGCAGTCTTCTGTAGAAACGGTCTCGTCGCCGGCGCTGGCTTCTTCTTAGCCCTGGCTCCATTCTCGAGATCTTCGACGGATTCAAGTTCCCCATTTCCACAACTCCAAACAGCCCATCGGGTATCACCAGCCACTCTGTGTTTTGATTCTTCAAGCCTTACCATTGCACCCCTTGTTGTCGACTCGGCTATCCTTGTATCTCCTTCCCTAACCCCCTCCTTCATCACCCGGACATCCACTGTCGCCTCGGCTATACCGTCATCTGTCTCATCGTTGCTTCGTCAGTGTCGTCAACGGCAAGTCCACGGATGACATCAGCGACGTCAAGCTTATCACTCAACGCCAATGACGAGGGTCCAGAACTTGATATCCTTAATGTCTCCTCTGTTTTCACCATCGTATCTGCACCTAGAGTTGCTGCAGTCTAGGTGCTTGTTTTCCACGAAATTGATGATGATGATAATAACAGTACTTATGTTGAAAAACAGTGAAATTTGTTTCTTACCTGGTCACTCATATAATGTTTCGGCAATTATTGAGTCGAATATTTGCCAGGCTTTAATGAGGTGATTTATTTCATCAGTAGGTGAGTTTCATTTTGGGACCGGGACTTGTTTGAGGTGTAAAATCGCAAATGCAAAAGCCCTAAACAAGTTATATGAGGATTCGACATTATCAAAACTGAATGACCAGTGGTTTGGACAATACTCATCCTGTTCATGCTGCTGACCTATTTGATGACATAATACACTTGATGAGCGATGACGATGTGGTGGGGTGGAGACGAAGCCAATTTGAGTCCAAGCGTCAGGAGCTCCTGCACCCAACTGAGGCAGGTGCCCGTGCTCCTGCCCCTGCTCCTGCTCCTGCTGCTACCGGTTTGTGTTGTCAGCAGTGACCGCCGGCAGCTAGCTCTCTGTAACCTCCAGTGTCGTCAGTTCACCTGGAATCACCAAACATTCACCACGTCACGATCCCTTCGGTGAGCACGGCTTGCCTTTGTTCACAGCAGAACCCTGTCTTGTGCCCCTTCCATGTATCCCTGCGACACATGAGCTCGCCAAAGAAACAACGCCCACCCCCGCCTCCTCAAAGAAGCGTCATGAATTGAGCCAAGCCGTTCCCTCACGATGCCTCCGCCCGAATCCCGACCCCTCCTCCTCTCCCAGAACCGCAAGCTTCGTCACCTCCGCGGCATCTACCTCCGAAACCTCAGCTTCGTCCGACCCCGGGGCCGTACTATCGACGACACCCTTCTGAATGCGACGCCCGCCAAGATCGAAGCTCTTCGCGATACCCCTCATCTCCATCATGCTCTCTCGAGCGACAACATCCGCCCCAAGGCGCCGCGGCGCAGGAGCACCGCCCTCGCCCAGGCCAGTCCTCTGACGAGGCAGCGCATGCTGCAATTGACCGTCGACGGTAGAGCCGCCGACGTGTTCTTTTCCCTGCACTGCGAGGACGACGAGGAGCCAATCTACATCTCCGAGCTGAAGGAGCACGCGACCGTGAGCAGCACCGGAACCACGCCTACATGGCGAAGCTAACACGATCACGCAGAACTTCAATTTTCAATTCTTCGATCTCAACCACCATGGAGCCTCTGTGACCAGAGCACCAGTCTTTACAATCAAGATATGGGCCAAGCGAACCTCTTGGACGCTGCTTCTCGAAGACATTATCGACCTCCGAAGCCTACACTTCATCGGCAGCCTCCAGAACCACAAATTCCCTCCCAATGCCCTCATCTTTCACCTGGCCGACGGTGTGTACTCGCTGGATGTTTTGGGAAAGCCGGCGCATCCCAAAGACCTTCCGCCACTCCATACATCCTCCTACAATGCCCTCATGAAGCTCGCGACGCTCGACAACTCCATCCAGGATGCCATTGCCACCCAGGAACAGATTACCTCCCAGATTAACGATATACTCGAAACAATACCCCACGATGAGGCCCCCGCGGCCGAAGAGAAGGTGAAATTGGCGCGCAAATACGTGGCGGCAGAGCAGCGTGCCCTCAAAGCGTCCGAGAAGCGTCGCGAAGAGCTGCGGGAGTCGCTAAAGGCGCGCAGGGACGCCATTGCCAATGGGCGTTCCCTCCAGGACAAGGCAGAGAAGGACGTAGCCAACGCGACGGAGCACCTCGCCGCCTCCAAGGCTCTGCTTTCTGACACCCAAGGCCAGATACGCGGGCAGCGACGTCGCATATGCTCCGACCTGGCCCACATCTATCAGATCCTTCCTACACCCTCCGGCGGTCCTCTCAACTTCCAAGTCGCGGGCTTGCCGCTCCCTAATTCAGAGTACGACACATCCGCATCGCGCGGTGCAGATGATGATCTTTTGTCCGCCGCCCTCGGCTACGTTGCAAGCCTCACAGACCACTTGCAGTATTACCTCTGCGTCCCTCTGCCATATCCCATCACACCCTTTGCCTCGCGCTCCTCCATCCGAGATGACATCTCCCTCCTGACCGACCTCAACTCCGCCCAGGCCGCCAGACAGCGCGACTTTCCCCTCTACATCCCGCGCGGAGGTTCAACAGCAGCCCACTACCGTTTCGACTACGGCTGGTTCCTCCTCAACAAGAACATCGAAGCCCTCTGCGCCAGCCAAGGCCTCAAAGTCCCAGACATACGCCAGACGCTGCCCAACCTCAAATACCTCCTCTACGTCTGCAGCGCCGGCTCCGACGAGCTTCCCGGCCGCAAGGTAGGCGGCGTTCGCGGCCTCTGGGCTGGCCGCTTTTCAAGACGCACGGCGTCCTCCGTCAGAGGAGGCGACGGGGACACGAGCAGCATTGGCGACGGAAGTCGGCGCGGTAGCAACGACAGTGAGTACCTCAGCCGCCAACGCGACGAGCTCCGGAAGGCACTGGCTGCGAGGGATGACGCCGCCTCGCCGGAGCTGCCCTCATTTTCACCTGCAGGTCTGCCCTTTGACGAGGGACAGATGAAGTTGTCACTTCGTACCAAGGGTCTGAGAGAAAACGTTGGGACTTGAAATGATGCAGGAAACAAAAGTTGGGACACCAGAACAGAGAAAAGGGAGGAATAATTACGTAGTTTCAATTGTCGAGATACCCGGCGGCGTTCGCCCTAATAACATGTTTAATACTCCTACATAAACCTTTTCTACGTCTGTGCCAAATCATCTTCTTTCATCCTCCCCTGTCCAAAGATTGGAACCCGACGCCAGTGCTCCGAAACCCGCATCGCTGTAGCTCTCAAAACACCTCGCTAAACACACTATCGTACAGCATCTTCACATGCCCTCGCCTACAATGAACGAAAAACTCGAAGATCGACGCGCCACTAGCGCTCCGTCGGGACGAACTTTACGCTCTTCCTCCTCTCCCTCTCGCCCTGCCTCGTGCCGGGGCTCGAGCTCAAGATGCCGGCCCCAGGCGGGCCCCCAGCCAACGCCTCGCGCACGCTCTCAACGGCCCGGCTCTGCGGCACCTCGTCCTTGTCCCCGCGCACGTTGGGCTGGATCACGGGGCTCTGCGGTTTGCTCCCGGCTACGCTGCCTCCGCCGCCACCGACACCGCCCAGCCGCGCCTTCTCGACGGCCGCGCGACCGACCTCGTCCGCGCGCGCGGCGGACTTCTCGTCGCCCCATTTGCCGGGAAGGCAGGCGTGGCCGCAGCCGTCGAGGGGACAGCAGCCGTCGCTGAGCTCGTAGCGGCTGCTCCCGTCGTCGGAGGGCGCGTGCCAGGATTGGAGGCATGTGGCGTGGCCGCCGTGGGCGCAGCCGGGGCAGTACCACCACGTGCTCATGACGGGGTCCTGCTGCTTCTGGGGGGAGGCGCCGTCGGGGATGGGGAGGACGGTGGCGGTGGTCTCGCGGTGGCCGCAGACGGCGCACGGAGCCATGGCGACGCGGCAGCGCTCACATTTCCAGAGGGCCTTGGAGCCGAGCTTGGGGTCGAGCTCGCGGGGCTTGCGGCACGAGGGGCATATGAAGCCGCCTTTGACGCCCTGCTGGGCGGTGCCGAAGATGGAGGTGTAGTTTGCGCCCCAGTCCGGGAGGCCTTCGGGCCAGCCCCGGACGCAGAGTTTGCGGAGGAGGGCTGCTTCAATGAAGAGTTTCATGCCCATGAGGCGGGAGTGGTGTTGGCGAAGGATCGAGGTCGCGCGGAAGGGGTCGATGACGGAGTCTGGCATGAGGGGCTTGAGGAGGAGGACCATTGCCGAGGCGTTGAGGGCCGATGTGCGGGTTTCGAAGTCGAGTGCGCGGGTGAGGAGTGTGTAGGGGTTGAGGGGTGGTGAGGTTTCGGGGGTTTCTTTGGAGGCGAGGGGGTGCGGGTACGAAGGGTCCTCCGGCCAGGGAAGGTAGTCAGATTCGAGGATCGACGGGGTCGGGTCGTGTTGGAGAGTTAGATTAGGCTTTGGCGGGGTTGAAGAAGATACACCGACGTGGAGAGGAGCGAGGTCCTCATATGTCGGCGGGAGAGAGTTGACTTGGGATTGTGATAGGTCGTCAGTAGCGGTGTCGGATGCCAGCGTGGTCTGTGAGATCATGAACATCTCCTCTGGCGAGTCTTTCGGCGTGCTCTCTACAGGTGCATTTAGCTCTGTCAACGCGCCATGCTCTGGTGAGTCCTCAATCTCCTTCCCACGGATACGACTTTCATATTCGCCCTGCTCGTCAACAGTCTTCTTCTCCATTTGCACGGGGTAGCTAGTGATAGATCTGGCCGAGACGCCCCCCTCAGAGGACGACGCGAGCCCAGATGTCTGCCTGCTGCTCTCAGACATGGAGAACATCTGGGCAAAGCTGTCGTCCGAATTGTGCCTCAGGGCGGTTCGGCGGCTATTTGGGGTGCGAGGGCCGTAGTCCAAGGGCTGCTGCTCCTTTTGTTTTGGCTCGGGCACATCTATAGCTTGAGCGAGGGCGTCAGTATCATAGAAGTCGTATCCATCTGTGCTAGAGACCTGTGTCTGGTCGCTGTGATGGCTTGTGACAGACAAAGGGACCGAATCCAGTCGCCTGCGAGGACTGTTGTTGAACGTACTGTGAGCAGCAGGGGGCAAAGCAAAGCCATCCGACTCCATCACCGGCGGCAGACGCGAATCCGATCGAGACGCCCCCTGTTCTGCGTTCTCTTCGTTGATGGCCCGGGCGATGGGCGTAGTGACGTTGGATGTACTTTCAATTTCCTCAGACAGCAGCGATCGTGGGCCCAGCGATCTACTATCAACGCTATTTGCGATGACGGCACTGGAAGGACGCCTCGGCGTGTCCTCTCCGTTCATCTCCACGACGACGCCTAACGATCTTGGGACCTTGACCTTCGGGATATCTCTGATCTTTGGCAGGGATGGCCTCTTCTGGAAATGGCCCAGTCGAAGCTGTAGATGATACTCCGCTCTCCTGTTCAATAGCAGATTCACCGAGTATGCGAGGATTCTCCACGTCTGTGCCAGACGGAATTGGTTGACTTGTTCTGCTGCACGGGCATAATGCTCCATTATGGAGGAGACCCTCTTGGCCAAAGACTTTCCGCCCATAACGTAAGGAAGCTCACGCTCAATTGTCTCCAGATAGTAGCTCGAGAGAAACTGGTACATGTCAACTCTGGCTGCTGCCGGAATGTGACCGACGGCCATTGACTGCTGTGTCTTGTAGGTGCCCGTGACTTTAATCGCTGCTTCCAAGCCCAGGATCGCGTCGTCGCCCAGGCTTGGGCCAGAGGGCGGCGTGGTACTCAGGACTGGAATTGACCTTAGGCTGTGTCTTCGCTTCCTGCCTATCCTTCGCCGAGGACCCAGAAAGCTTCCAACGACGTCTTCTTCCGAGTCGCTGCGACTGATGCTGAGCATGGGGGTGGTAGGACTCGAGCTATAAGATGTTCTCGGCGGCACAATGCTCTGCTGTTGATGGTGAATAACTGGTGGTCGAGGGCGATGATGCGGTCGCTCGTCGAGAAACATGACAGCATCGCCTCGTGCAGACAGAGCCATGCTGGATACCGACTGCCGGTCCAGCACCTTTGGGGCGAATGCGACGTCGCATTGGTTGAACAGACCATCGTTACCGACAGTCCACAGTATGTCTTGATTCTGCCACAGTAGGCATGATGGCGAGTAATCAAAGCGGTCGATTTCCTTGTACGGCATTGAAGGTCTCGCCAAGTCCCAGATGTGAACGCTGTTGATTCCGTATCGCTTATGGCTGCCGTCATCATATGACACAGCTACTTGAGCGGCGCGTTTCCCCTGGGCGCTCGCAGACCAAAGACCAGGTCTCCAGGCCACAGCAGACACGGGCGCTGGGGTATAAATGAGCCAACGCGGCTTTTGTCTCTTGTCTGCGTTCTTGGACATGTCCCAGACGGCGCATTTGCTGTCCCAGCCACCGCTGATCAGATGGTTGCCGTCGGGATGCCAGGATATCGAGGTGCAGGCTTTGTCGTGTGCAGGGATCTTGAGCAGAGGCTGCGCGATCTTGCGCACATCCCACTTCAGAACCACACCAGACTCTGTTCCGCAGGCGAAGTAGAAGCCGTCCTTGGGTGACCACTTCACCTGGCGAACACCATCTGCGTTGCACTTGTAGGCGCCTCTAGGACTGTAGGTGAAGCCGCCCGAGCGACTCTGGACCGGGGCGCGAATGTCGAAATAGCGCACCATGCCATCCTGGCTCCCCGATAGTAAAGTCGTCCGACGATGTGGATTAATGTCCAGGGAGTTCACCTGACGCGAATCCTCCCTCGTCTGGACAAACTCCAGGGGAGTGCCGCCAGTCGCGATTCGCGCCAGATCGTAGGAAAAGATGTTGCCGTTGGCGCAAGCTGTGAATATCGTGGAATCGCCATGCCATTTTACGTCTCGTATCGAAAGCTGGTCGGCCATCAGGGAGCTCGAAGCACCTTTGCTCGAGGCCGACTGGGCCGTGATGGCGCCGCGGACATCGACGCCCTCGCTAATGGACAGGCCGTCCAAGACGACGGTCTTGAGAACATGTCGGCCGGCGATAATGGCAGTCCGATGGTCGGGAGAGGTATCGAGGCATAGGATTGGCACACCGGCGGGGTAGACGGCGTTCTGGGAGGCGCTGGGGCGGTAGGAGGTCTGGAACTGAGGCGCACTGGTGATGCCGATGGTATGGCTCGTGTCGGTGCTGCTGTCGGCAGTGACTTTGCCGAGGAGTTTGCGCATGATCTTGTTTTCGCGGCTATACATGGAGCTCGAGCTCGCACGGCGCCATGGGCATGGCTGTGGTGTCGCGATCGGGGGACGAGGGAGGCGGCTTGCGACCGTCGACGATGCTTCGCTGCGTGGGGTGGAAGCGAAGCTGCGATTGACCAGTGATGAAGGTACCTCAAGGCATTGGCTTTAGGCTGGCAGCGACAACAGGCGATAAGAGATAGCCCTTCTCGGCCGATAAGGTCCTGATAAGCAGCCTGAATGCGATAGGCGAGCTCTTTTAGAGTTCAGTTGGTGGGGTACCTGAACAGTGCCCAGGTGCTCCTTCCCGGGAAGGGGCCTCCTGAAGAACAAGCTCCTGCCCCAGCTTAATTACATTCAACGGACTTCAACTCTCGTCTTGCACCATATCACGCCTCTTCCTAATGCCGGGTTTGATTCAATTCGTTGCATTCTTTCATGGATTACCCGATTTTCCGTGAGCTCGTTTGGCCACAATTGACATCCCAAGTGTATCATCAAACTGTATCAGCCATATCTCCAGTAGGAGCTGCCCCCAATTATCAGCGCTGAGCGTCCCCAAACACCGCCTCCACCGTCAATTCTCACCAGCTAACACCCGTCATTCTCGAGCTCGTAACCTCTTTTTTCTTTCGACTCGAGCTCTAGGCATTCGAGGCATCTCGTGGGATCTGATCATATTCGCCTCTCGGGCCCTGCGGTTTGCCGCTCTGCACAAAGTTAGCATGAGATCAATCGTTGCCAAGGACTGGGAACTAACAATCGAGCATAGATCTCGCTGGCCTCCATGTCTTCCACGCCCGAGTCACCGCCAGGACCTTGGTCTGAGTC